TATGAGAATTAAAACCAGATAGTACCAAGAATTTGGATTCATTCTGAATACAGTGTGCATTTTCCGACTTGAATATTTTTCTACTCCTTATTCTTCACACTCAGATTGATAGATATAATAACAATATTAAAATTTTCACGCTATAATATTCTTCTAGGATTCTACTCTTGTTCTTCCCTCTTGTTTGTGAATTGGTATCTTTCCATGGAAAAAGTTAATATATTAATTAAAGATTATAATGAAAGAGAAACCAAGTTAATGTTTATTATTCTCTTCTTCCATCTCGTGAACTTAGTCGAGATTAAAAATGATGTTTGGTAAAATTTAAAATGTACTTATATTAAAAGTATTATTCTTTTCATAAATTTAAAATATAATGAAAAGAAAACAATTAAAATTAATCTTTTAAGTGTGTTTTAAGCAATTTTTTTTAAAAATATATATCTAAAATTTTAATTTTTCAAAATTTAATTAATATTCACTTTAAAAAATAATTTTAAAATTTTTCTCTAACAAAATTTTAAACTCATGAATGGTACTCTCAGACAAATATTTTTTAATATTTACTAAACACCTTTAATATATTTGAAAAGAGTCTTTTAAGAAAAAACAAATTTCAAATACTTGCACTAACGGGAGTAGTTGAGTGACCACGAAGCAAACTTTTTTTATTGTGGCCTTCATATAATATTAAAATAGATCAGTGGATCATCATTAACCATAGAATATGCGTAACAACATAATCTTTTGTTTAGTTAGGAATTGATTCTGAGAGAGCAATCATAAGAAAATATCATTAATTAACTAATGGGACTAATTGTCATTGGGTAACATTGAAAAAGAGCTTTTAGACATTATAAAAAATAACGAGTAAAGCCAAAGCTAACACCAGGTCTTTCCTAAACCGCGTCAATATTAGGGCCTGTTTGGTGTGGCTTGTGAGAGCTTTAGCTTTTTGAGTACTGTTATGAGTGATAAGTTTAAATTTTTATTGGAGGGAAAATAGAGCTTTAGCTTTTAGGAAGATGAAAAATGGAGTGAAAAGTAAGTAAAAAGAGAGTTTATGAAAAGTTTGGATTTGAAACCTTTGAACTTTTACTGTTTAAGAGCTTTTTGAGGTTAAAAAAATATTTAAAAATGTAAATTTTTAAGAGGGAAATTTAAATTCATGAGACATAAATAGTGCCCAAAAGCTGAAGCTACTAGGAGCTGCACCAAACAGGCTCTTAGTTGGGAAGCAATTCAAATTAATTATTTATGGTTATCAAGACTTTGACCAATCAAAGATAGGCATGTATATGTGTTTGGTCCCACCTCGAAATCTTTACAAAATAGACCAAAAGGACTCACCTTTTAGCATATAAATACAATTATCTATCCTAATAAGAGCAATAAAATAAAATAAAATAAAATCATACCACTAACTCTTCGTTGTTGTCGTGACAAAACTTTGCTCATTCGTCAATGATATGCTATTTCTCAATTCAGAAAGTGAATTTATGTGATTTTTCTCCCAAATAACTCCCTTGACTATTTCTTTTGAGAAATATGAAGCATATTAAAGAAGAACCTTTTGATTGGTAGTTTTGTCAATCTTCACAATACGAAGCTTTGGTCTCTCCCTATCCCAACGTATCATTTAGTTAAACAACATTTGCAGAAATTTTAGCAAAACTTTAAATCTGTTTAAGCAGCCTACGGAAATTGAAAGAAAAAAAAGAGAGGCAAAAACACATTAATATATAATGAATGCAAAAAATAATAATAATAATAATAACAACAACAAGAGGCAACTTGCTGTAAAATTTGAATACAATGATAAAAAATATATTCATTAACACTTGACAACAAACAACAATGGAAAGTCATGTTGAGAAGTTTCAAAAAAAAAAAAGCAATATTTATGTTTCTACTTATTTCAGTCTGTCAAAAATATTGTAGCTCATCTCACTGTAGACAATAAAAAGAAAGGAAAAAGAATAATGTGAATATCTTTTTTCTAGAAAGCAAAAAATGCAAAGATCAACCTATAGATGTTATTGAAGCAAAATAAAAGTTCAAACTTCAAAGGTCTATTCGACCTTTTAGAGACAAGACTACATTGATTTTACATTTGTAACATGAGTAAAGAAACAACAAAACTGCATAACTGTGTAAAAAAATAAAAAATGGTAGTTTTTCTCAGTATAACCTAGAGTAATATTTGATTATTTATTCTTTTATCATGGATAAACAGTTATCCACTTCGGTAATAATATTGAAAATTATTTCAAAAAATTCTTAGAAGATTAGTAAGCCATGAAATTAGATGTAAAATTGATGTAATAAATGATAGACATTGAGTAGGATTAAGGATTCATATCACAAAAATACACTAATGTACCAACCACCACATAATCTCTTAAATTGCTAATAGATTTAGGGTTTGTTTAATCT